TTTTAATGGGAAAAGAAATATATCCTTAGCATTCACCGAAAAATGAAGAAAACAGAGAGCAATGTTAGCATGTATGGGTGTACGCGCACCTCCATTAACTCAAAGCCAATCGAAAGCACCCACAGCAATGGCTGGTTACGAATCATTATAGCTTTTCCCCACCATCCAAGAATGTGTGCCAGAACAAATTCATCAAACAGTATATCCTAAGCACAAAAAAAATCTGACTTTAGCTGAAAAAGGCATGTTTTTATCAACCGCTAACCATAAGAAAACAAATGTAAAGTTAAAGACACCAAGGTGAACAAAGATAACATACATAAACATTCTTAAACCTGCTCGTGAGATTTTCAGGCACATATATTCGACAATCAGAGCCATAAGATCTCTCAGGAAGCTCTGCATCAGATAGAGCAACAATGACCATTAAGGTAAGTTAAAAAATTCATGCATCGCAATAAGAAAAAAAGGGTTATGAACATAAAAATGCATTGTCTTTAAAAAAGATACTGAATCTTTACATTTTTTTATTTTTTTTTTGGAATAAGAAGAAATGGCTTACCAACACCAAGATCAGGATGCAGGAATCTCATGAACTGCCGAGCATCGTCACGCTTCTGGAAAGGGGAAAATTTAGAAAGTGCATCAGAAAAATACTGAATAAACCCACAAATTCAAGAAAGTTATCTCATTATAGATGTTTTAAGTATTATGAATAATTTAAGAAAAAACTAAAATGTGATACCATGTCAATAATTGAGTGCAGAAAAAGAAACTTTCATCTAGATAAGCAATAAAATTCAAGCTGAACTACGCTAAATAACACACCTGGAAAAGGAGAAATGTTAGTGCAACAAGATAAATGACAGCCATTCCATGAACAAGGCGCCAAATGGCAGGATGTGGACGGATAAGCACTCTGAAAATAAATGTAGGATTAGTCGATATTAGATAAATGACACTTCAAAAGAATGCAGCACAAAAAGGGGACTGGATTTTTTTTTTTTTTTTANGTGCATTGGACCTGATTTGATTATGGACAGCGATAACATATAATACTGTTGAAAGCCATTTAGCTTTCGCCAAAACTAAACCTCCCAAGGTGCTAGTTCCCTCGAATTAAATTACTTCAGGGCACCATTCTAACATGGTTTTGAGTTTCAACTTTTCACTAAAAGAACAACACATTTACAAGATTACTTCAAATTATAAAACCTTAGCTAATTGAATGTTATCCACAAAACGATACTATTGTTTTCATCTAAAGTTGCATACTGAAGAACTCCAAAATTTATGATTAAGCCATTAAAACTGTTTCAGGGACTACTCAATTTCAACGGCCTATAAATTATGAAAAGGTTAAGTAAAATACTTTCTCAAGACAATGGAAAGGTCATATTATAATTGTATAAAAACCAAGAAAGAGGCAAACTTACGTAGAAGGAGCTTGTAACAAGCAATAGGAAAGGAACACAGCAATCATTGCCCATACACCCCTGCCAAAAGCATCAGAGCAACATTTTATTCAAGCATTCTATTGTTCAAGTCTCTGGACGATTAAGAGAAAG